CTGCGAGATTTTGATTTAGCCTACATAGACTTTGATTTATCATACTTCTGAAAAACTATTGAAAAAGCCTATTGATGAAACGTTTTTTAATTATTGGGGTGCTACACGGGTGTCAAGTTGGCAACGCACTTTCTTAAAAATATCATAAAATTGTTTCAACAATAGGCTTTTTCAATAGTTCTTGAGAAGGTCTGTAGTTCCCGGTCTCGTTCTAAGTATTGCTTCGGGAACCAGCGGTGAGGTAGCGAAGAACCTCTGCCCGGCTACAATGGGATTCGCATTGTCGACGGAGGCGATGATCATAATATCCTACTTCCATTCTTGCCGCTACGATTTAGCGCCATGATTTTGGTATCGCCTAAAACCGCAGCATTGTGCACCTCTCTACTCGTCTCTGAGCGAAATTTGCTGGACGATGGGTGTGTTCCAAAATTAGCTGACAGCACTAGGTCCGTAGCTGGAGCACGTAAAAGTGTTTGAACGATCGGACCTACTGATACCGTTGAAACATCATTCCAAAATAAATTTCAGCAAGAATTTAGCATGGTAATTCTGTATTTCGAGGAGCTTAGTCAAGTAAAATTAGCCAGTCGAACTCATGGAATAATCAAGAAATACTAGTGATCCCAAATTAAGACTCATTTCGCTTTATCTCTAAATGTCCGTTATTACCCGCGTTTGCCGTAATTTCTTTCGAGACATTTTTACTGTAATTTCTGCTATATCTTTATATTGCCAATAATGTGGAACAATCAATATAAGATGTTGGTTATAGCTGGGATGTCCGACTACGCCTGTTCGAAGAGTTTCGAAAATCGCATTTTACAAAGCAAAGTAATTCTGTATTCGAATTTCTGAATCCTGTATTTCTTGATTGGAGACAAGTAAAGTCTTGTCCATCTTGCTGTACTTGGACATTAGTAACATGTTAAATCAATACTACTACTATTGTTTGAATCTCCAAGGCAATTGATAAACAAGCCACTACAGTTATGTGCTCTCAACTTATAAGCATTCTGTGAGTATCAGGTCTTTCTTATCTGAGGTTCTACTTTCTTGAAAATGTCCAATGTTACACAAAACTTGCTATCGTGCTACTATGGCTTCGATAAAAATTCTGACGAACAAATTTCAAAATTCTTGTCAAGTCACGAAAGTATCGACGACTCTGTAAAAACATTTACAGAAGCCTCAATTGCAGAGAGTATTGCGACGGGTCGAAAGTTCGATGGAGATACCGAAAATGAAAGTACAACGAACGTAAGTAATAGAATAATAATGATTTTTAGATTACTATTAAACTATAAAATTTATTTTCAGAGTAAGAACGATAGCAAGTCGAATCGAGGTAAATCATTGGATGACGTATCTGTGCGCACTTCGCGTGTACTGGACGAAAAGGCTTTCCTGAATGATAATGATAATGGAAATGATTATGAGAAATTCTTAGTAGCCTCATCCCTTGGAACCGATTACAATTTTGGGAAGACAGAAGTCTCGCCAATAGACAAACTGTCGCCTGATTGTAAAATTATGGCCGATGATAAAACAATTCAGGAATCAGAGGATACACATATGGATACGAATTTAACACTCATTCAAGATGTTATTCCTGATAGTGCTTCTGATATTTCATCAACACCTGTGAAAACTAAGTTACATGGAAAATTGAAAACGCCCGTCGTACCGTTGCCTCCTATACCAAAGAAAGGACCTAGTTGTAATGGAATTTACTTGGATTGGCCAAATGTGGGAATTGAAGAATTTCCATCTCATATTATTAAATCCTATCCCGGATTACGGGTAGATAAATTATTTTCGATAATAATAATATTTCGATAATATTGCTAGTTACAAAATATTTACCTAATTCACAGATGCTGTATTTGGAAAATAACAAATTGGCAAAACTTCCTGATGAATTGTTTACAACATTAAAAAATCTTATGTGGCTGGATGTGAGAAATAATTTGTTGACTTACTTGCCAGAGAGTATTAAGTATCATGCCAGTTTGGAAACGATTTTATTGCAAGGAAATAAAATTGAGAGGCTTCCTTTAGAGCTTTGTATGCAGACAAGCAGATAATCATTATTTTTTTACATTGAAAGTATGTTGGTGATTTTAATTACTTAAGGAAATTATCGTTCAGGTCTCCTACCAAACTTAAGAGAATTGAAGGTTGCTCGCAATCCTCTATACTATCCTCCAATGGATGTAGTCAATCTAGGATGTCAAGCAATTCGAGATTTTCTTAGAAGCGAATGGAATATATTACATCCCAATGAAGCTATTGAAGAGCCAAAAAATCGTATGTATACATACATATATATGAGATTATTTAACACTTACCAGTTAAAGCTACAGCACCTGTAAGACTGTAGACGATGCACCGAAGTATATTCCGGCGATACGATATTTTATATAACTGCAATAAAAATTTTATTGCAGAAGAAATCAAGGCGAAACCATCAACGATTTTATGTTACCAGTCCAAACAGAATACAAAGAAAATGACAAAGAATATACCAACCATGTCAAAGTATGCGACATTCAAGTCGCCGCATCCAAAAAAGAAATCTGTGCGGGAAAAGAGTTGGCGTTATACACCCAGTAACAGGTATGGAATTGAAAAAAACCGGAAACAGATAAAACAAAATAAATCACTGGATTACGAGCAAATACCAATGCGTCAATCAAACTCATGTTCAATAGCTACTCTTCAAAATACAAGTTCATGCTCATTAAGAGAAGTGAAAGATGAGGGTGAGACTATAAAAGAAAGATTTCTTGAAAGCATTAGTCGGGCTTGTACCTCTAATGAGAATAATGAAATGTTAGACAGTGGGATTTTGCGACTATTTGGTCCGTCTCCAAGATCTCAGTACGTCAGGAATAATGTGGTTCTTGTTGATTGCGATCTTGAGAAAGCAAAGCCTTGTAAGATACGTTTAGAAAAAATTGATCCACGAAATTTGAGACGTGCGAAAATTGATGCGGCGACAGCTGCAAAAGAAGTGGAAATAAGAGAACGCGTCTTTCATATAATTACTAATGACAGAGTTATGATGGAACTTTACCCTATGCGGATGGATGATCCGCAGTGGATGATTTCTTTTTTGGAGGCATATATCGATCTCCAGAAACATCGTAAACGTTAACTAGATTGTGCAGATCTAATTTTCTTAGTTTTAGTGGAAACGAATATTGTACAGTGACGGAAAGTCGTGTTTCACTTTATTACAGTTGTGTAATAGTTATTGCACGAATAAAGAAGTTGACAAACTAATTTATTGATTATGTTTGTTATACTGATGAGTCAATCTGAATAGGTGTGAAAGTCAAGGAACGAACTCAATGCTGGAGCAGCGCCTTGCGTGTATTTCCAAAGTGAGAGAAATGCTGCAAATACAAGCATTGTCATTACAAAGAACAAAGTGAGTTACAAAATGAAAATATGGAATAATTGTTTCACTCTACTCACGAATGTTAAATTAAGTGTTAATAACGAATATCAATTTAGGGATATAGAATCGTTAAAAGACTGGAGAAGGGATAGAAGAAGTTATGAAAAAAGTATCAATAAAGCTGCCAGCAGAACTGAAGGTAAATAATTTAATAAGTAGTTCATTAAATTTTCTGCATCTTTAGGACGAATTCATAAGAATTAATTGTGACTAAGATATAAAAATAAAAATAACACTTAACTTCGCACAGCTGATATCCCATTTGCTGTCAACTGGAACGATCTACCTCCAACATTTAAATCAATCAGTAAGAACAAAGATAATAAAAAGGAAAAACGAAGACAAGCACCGCCTCGGTAAGTCACATTTTAACTAACAAATCCGCTATGTATTAATGTATTATCTTGACAGGGATATAAACAAAACATTTCACGAACTGCTCCAATCACTGAACAATATTCAAATTTCAACAAATTCCAACAGTTTAACACCTCGCACAGAGCAGAAACTAATGGCGACTGAAATTCTTAAGGTTTCTCTATAACAATTTTAAAGTATCGCATACACGTATGTTTATTAAATTAATCATCCCTAATGTCAAATTCATATTTACAGATTTCAAGATTACAAGATGAAATCCGTGGGTTAAGAATATACAATGAAAGAATGACATCGCCTTTCGATGAGCCTTGCCCAAGGAAAGCAGAACCTTATAAACCTATACCGTCAATAATAATTTAAGGGATCATCAGTGTAAAATTTTCAAAAAATCGATTTCTTTTTTTTTTTCATTATCTGACAGTATACACGGTTATAAATATTCTGTCCAATTTTTATGTCGAAATTAGAATTATTTCGGTCGCTACAGCCTTTCTTAGAAGAAGGGATTGGACGGTCAGACCTGGCGCACTCCGATCTTTAAACGCGTTTTTCTCGGAATGGTGTTTTTCAAAACGATGGCCACTCTCAAAGGAAGAATTTTCAATCTATCCATTTGAAATTTTAACAGAACATTCTTCACGTCATTTCTTATGTTGCTACGGAAGCTTTTTTCTTTATTTTGAAATCTTCCTTTTTTTTTTACGAAAAACTGTCGAAAAAAAAGGCTAAATTTTATACGTTTTGTTCAAACCGACGCCATTTTTTCAAATTTCACTAAAAACAAAAAAAGTTTCATAGGAGCATAGCGGCTTTCCTACAGATTTATAAACCATTTGAAATTTTTGTTTGAGGTAAAATTTGCGCCCGCAATCCTGGCCACCATCGGACACAATTTTTTTTCCATTCAATTTTCCAGAAATAAAAACAACGTTAAACAATACATATAGAAATTTTTTTAAAATCATTTTGTATATTTCATAGGTGCTTCAATTTGTAAAAAAAAAATAGACCGATTACCTTATTCTATCCACCTAAAAAAAAAATCGCGAAAATCTGCTATTTTTTGGGTGGTCACACTGTGATGATCCCTTAAGAATGATCTCAAATAATAAAGGTTGTGGTCAGTCTTTATATGTTTATTTAAATAAATCAAAGTTAATGGCGTATCGTGTTGTATGATTAATTGCAGATACAGTGTATAATAAGTACGGTAGCGAGACGACTGGAAAGATTATCATCATACCCATAACTGAGCCGTGCATGTAAAGAAGCATTTAACAAAAGAGTCTACATTTTATACAGTAAATTATTTCCGCTTTATTCAAAAATCAAACTGACTATGGCAACGATATCACTAAAATCAGTTATGAGATTAATTTTTGTTTACAGAAATTGAATATAATCACATAAATTTTAAAGAAGTGACAGTATGAGATGAAAGTGCCATTAAAATAAAAAGAATGTAAAGTATTGATAATCTGTAATTCCAGTAATCTCGATATCGGAATCGAATATTGAGTTATCGCGAAGATGCATTAGTATAAAAAGTTCTATGAGCCACGATTCCTATTAATAAAATACATCTAAAAAGAGCAACTATTTATATACGTCATTCGCGACAACCGTGAGGTTTCTCGTCGACAGGGCACCTCAATTTAATCCCTAATTTGAAATTGATTGTGTAAATCCAAATGACCATAGGAATAGATTTAAGAAAATTTGGTAACAAAGCTACGATGAAGTAAAGTAAAATGAACTATTAGTATTAACGATTAATTGTAGGTGACTAATTAAAAACTTTACACGTCTAAAGAGAATTTAATTCAATATTCTTATTTTTTTTTATCTAATGTAACTGTACATCGAAATGCTAATTCTTATTGATTAAGTTTCTCCCGTAATTGAGTAATTGATAAATTCCCATGACGTTAAGACTTACTCGTGTACGATTCTTTTTCGCTAATCGAATTTAAATTTATAGTTCTGTGATGTGTGCTTACTTACTTGTCACACAATATAAAACGTGCTATCGACGATTGCTAATTATGCAGCTCCTATCATTCCTGCAGAGATTCAATTAGTTTGGGCTAGTGAATGCTCCGCCATTATTATAATTTAGGCTCCCATTAGCAATAAAGAAACCTGTTTTGTATATCTATTGAAACCGTTATATTTTTTAATGTTTGTAGCCTTGATACAAAAATACGATTAAGAGATGCCGTACGAAATTATATAAAGTTAAAACGTATGCGTTACGAATGTCGCAACGATTAAATCTTTACCCAAACAATAAATACTTTTTTAAAATGGGTCACTCGGTGTTTTCATAAAAAGTAAAACAGAATTATTGGGTATAACATTGAGCAGATGTCTTTAAAAAAAATGCCCAGGAATTAACTTCGCCAAGTAATTAGTTATCAGTGATCAGTATTTGTTCAGTAAGTGCCCAATTGGTTAACCATTTTAAGTCGGCCATGTAAATGACATTTATGAAAAGAGAAAAAAAACTGTAATCCATATAACTGATCTTTGAGTTGACTGTGTATCAGAAATACACATCGCGACTGTATGAACTTTCTGTTGCTTGTAACATTTGTAGTGTTAACTTTTTTTTACATTATTATGAATCTGGTGCTTTCTATTATCACTCGATACGTCATGATCAATATTCAATATATTAGATGTTTCGTTATTTTCCGTATTGCACGTTTTCTTCATTATTTCATATTTCAATGTTGCCATACTCATGTCTTCTTATGATTTGATATGATGAAGCCGTATTCTCTGAATGCTTACTTATCAAATATGTACAATACAAACGGGTCTATGTCGCCAAGCGAATACTCTCACAAAATACGTGTCCCTATCTCTTCCTGTGATAAATCCTCACGCGTATTTTGACAATGAATGATTTACAGGTTCAAAATTCATAGTCAACGAACCCCGTCACATATGTGACTACCCGAAGGTTCATGAGCGACATATGCAATCGCGGAGGTGCTATATCACAGAATATACCTTCCGCGAAAAATGCCGAAGTGAACGTGTAAAATGAGCATTGGGGCGTTTTAACGTCAGCATACCTTTCTCGAAGAAAATGTAGAACCGAGGAATTCGGCATAGACAAATGTTCTATACCGTAATTTGTTTCGTTTGCGGGCTGGACAGGGATAACTTATTAATAAGCATTACTGGTGTGCTTGCTTTTTGTTAGAAACTTCTGCACATTGTGATGCTACTAGGACTTTCGTCTTGAGTGGTGTTCAAGTCGACAAATCCTAGTTTACCGTAAAATTCATGAGATTCTTTGTCGGTGGAAGGTATCGTCATATGAACACCAAAAGAGCCTGTAAGGAAATAATTATTTTTATGCGTGTTAAGGATCTCATGCAAAAACATAGCAATTCTAAATTGTATTCCTACCATTAGCCCTCAAAGCGGCGAGAACACATGTGACCAAACGTTTTGGAACAGACTGATCCTGCACGGTGGGTAATACTGCACATAGCATTTGCGAAGGATGTTGCCTACATAACTGTTCTGGCGTATCAGGCACAAAGGAATGTAAGAATCGTATTGCTTCCTGTAAATATATTACATTGAATCAATTAAATATCGTAGTATGATAATAATTTTGTAAGAGACTGAGAATAGTAAGTGTTTTACCTGAACATTAGGTGGTAGATCATTTATATTGTCATCCAAAGGATATTTGGCTTTCAATTCAGGAATCCAAGAGACGGCAAGCTTTTGATTAAAAGTTTTAATATTAAGGGCAGCTAGAGCATAACCCACAATAGCATCTTCGTCTTCAACGACCATACAAAGTTCTGGACTTAACGTTAAGAATCCACCAACAAGCCTAAATAGATGCAATACATTTGCTCATTCAAATTCATTTAACCAATGGATGTTTTAGTTGTATTTTTTTGGCATACCTATCTGCTACAGCAGATGACGTGCAGCCGGTAATTTGATTACAAACAGCGTAAACGGCATCTTCATCGCCAGGTAAATAAGGTCGAATAGTATATATCTTACTGCTGGGTACTTCTGGTGCTTTGTAGACAAATAAATCATTGCCACTATCCACTGGAATCAGTCTCTGTATATATGAAGAAGATGCAAAATTTATTTTATCAAGACACCGTCAAACTTCTCTTGGATTTTCATGAAAATTTACAATAAAGCGTACCTGCAAGTCAGCTGTTAGTCCACCACGAAACACCCATGGTTCTTGGTCTCCACTCATAAATGTTTCTTTCCAGCCATTCGAAAACCCTACATGAATATAGAAAATTATATATTTGTCAAATGAAATGAATTTCGCATGAATGCCTTAATTGTAATTTCATTCGCCTAGCCTCCACTGCATTGGACTCCAATTTTTCTTAATTTTACGCCATTGCATTTTATGATTCCATAACATGGATAGCTATGCTTCTTCATTGTACTCACTTCTCAATTATAATCTTCATTAAAATTCAGTTACTACAGTCTAGTGAACAAAGTTTGATGAACATTCTATACGCTTGTTTGGTAAATTATTTATTAAAGAAGAAGAATGTTAATTCCATTTAATGGAATCTACATACCAAAGGTCTAACACTCTCTCAAAATTCGATTATCCGAATATCAATATAAAAAAAAATGTCTCATTAACAGAAAATTAATCTCTGATCCCATTGATCAGATTAATGACGATTCTATTAGAAGATTTTAATTATTAAACAAACAACAAGAAAGTGTTAAACCCTAGATTCGCGCGTCGTAAACTTTTGCATTGTCAAAGGATTGGAAAAGGAAGGTGAAAGATTTGAATGATGGTACAAATTGCCAAAATACGCCTGAAATAAAACTTTCGTTGCTCCTGAAAAAGAACACGGTATTCTGAAAGGAAGAAAAATAAATTAGTGGTGGTAAGTTGGCAAGTGGATACATCATATTGAGCACAGGAACAATTAAGAATCAATCGAAGTTGCAATTTTTTTTTTTGGAATATTATCAAATCTTCAAAGAGCCAAGGACGCAGCTTTGATCGATCAAAATAGACCCGTAATAATATCGATGAGAAAAGACAAATCAAAAGTTTACGATAAGTTTTCATCTCTAAACTTTGCCAATTGAAAATAATGACTTTTGAACGTTATTCTTTTTTACGAAAATTGAACATACTCAGCGCACAATTAACAACTAACAACACGCATGTAAAAGCATAATAGTTGATAATCAATACTGTGTGCAGTGCAAGATTATAATTTTGAATGAAATTTCGCTATTCGCGAATAAAGTTGATTTCATAATACTGCCAGTAATTTTCGCAAGAAGAATAATTCTCTAACTGAAGTGTACTTTCAAAGTTTTACAATTGACGGACTACGCGCTTCTAAAATTGTTTTTTCGCACGCTCATGTTACGCGCAGCAAATATATTTTCTCGTAAAAGCCTCGCGCATTATTTCCATCTGCGTATCGTGTGTGGCAAAGTAGCTATTGAAATTCGCGAAATTTACAATGCGAAATACGAGCCGATGAAACTGCGCGAGACTTTGACATATCGCGCGCTTTATATGCTGAGTTACTCAGAGGAGACAGGTAAGTCGCATACATGTGTAGCTGCCCTGGGTAAAGGTTGTCATCGTCGACGGGAATCTGCCAAACGCTATCAACAAGACAAAAAACACAGAACCTCAAGTTAGTTAAGTTGACTAAGGCATACTCTTCCACAATGGCGCCAAGACGACTCAGCGAGGCTGTATTCGTCGATTGTCTCACGAATTTCAATGTTACTATAAAAGAACACATAATTTGTAAGGAATAATGCAAGAATATCGAGTCTAAGAAATTATAGGATTCTTGAAGAATTTTATAAGTAAAAGTATCTAGAAATATCTTTATATTCAATAAAAGAAATATAAATATATTCTGTATTCAACGATGTATATACTCGACGAGTACATCCCAGCCAGTCGTCGGCTGTAAAGAAAATCAATGAGTAAATTAGTAGCTGGCACTTGGTAGATTTTAATTGCGAAGTTTGTTCGCTTCCACTAAGATGCTGTTGATCGCTTCCGTGTGTACCACAGAGTGTCGTGACTGGTTCGGATGAAAGAATCAAAGAAAGAAACAAAAAGAGGAGGAACTTGTAAGGAGAAACCTTGACGTTTCGTGACACTCCTACATACAATCAATGTGAACTTAATGGATTTCTTAAGTTTTGTTTCTCGAATACAATTCGGATTGATGTCAAAACGTCAACGTCTCCCTTACAAAAATTGCGATATGTTTGCAAAAAGGAAGCCGTGATTTTGAGTAAAAACTACTTTCAAAAATATTGCATAGACTATGATAAAAGGATTTATTAATATATTGCAATCACGGAATCCTTAGCTGTCGTAACGCCTTAATTTTCGCGCATCGCGCTACACGTTTGCCATTTCTCAATGCGCGCAGAAATGACAAATCGTATGTTTTTATTTTTAGTTTTCCTTTTCAGAGCAAATTATTCCCTTCTTCATCTCTTGACTCTAGAAGACTGTATCCCGTAGTTGTTTTTCATAAAGAAATCACTTTGCTCTTACTCATGTAAATGCGTGTCTTGCTGAATGACTACTTGCTGAACATTTATTTACGAATGAGCTATCACTACGGGACAAAGTAAAAAATCACATGTCTCCAATCACGCTGATATCCAGCATTTAAAAGTTTCAAAAGACTATAAGATTTTTTTTTGGTAGTCTGTATTTTTGAATTTAATTTGCTTTAAAAGACATGTTTGCTTTATAAAAAGCTAACCTCACGCGTTCAACATCTCGCAAATTGTAAAAATATAATTTAATTGTAACAAGGTTAATAACAAATATTGGAAAGTGAAAAGGATTGATTTCAATCAATATGCGAGTGCGGTGTGTGAGACCAACTCTATATATGTATATATATATTTACCCCGTTCGATTACTCCAATTATCGTATTCCATTCGATCAAGTTCATCGTTAGAAATTACGATAATTCACGGAGATGCAATACGCGCAAATATTGAATAACATTAATACTATTGACGGTAGGGAGTTATATCGTTTCACAAGGAAGATACAAAAAATTCAACGAACCAGTTTATATCAACATAAAATATTCTTCGCGTTAGTATATTAGTGGAGAAAAGTTATCATGGGCATGACACTTATATTAATAAATTATAGTGGTATATTAAATAGAAGAGGAGATAGAGTAATACAAGAAAATAATTCTTTTATCCGATCACAAAAACTATAAATCAACACATTGTTTAACACTAACCGTACCATTGACCGGTCGTGTGACTGTTTTAGAGGCAAAAATACATTTATAAAAAATTGCCGGTATGGTTAGTGTTAAGTGAATGTTGAGTTTAAAATGGATATTTTTAAATTTCAAGTGTTACTTTTACATTTTGACATGTAACGTGTTCATGGAAGCGATTGAGAACTGTCTTCTTGAATTCTGATCATTATGCAAAAAATCTTCCGTGTGAAACGATCGAACGGGGTTAATAAAAAAAGAAGGTAATATCAAACTTACCAATACTGCAGATAGTTTTCTTCTGAAATATAAGTATAGGTAATGATTTATAATACTTGAGAGGAAGAGCGATATCAGCACTCGTCTGTGGCGTGGTTAATCGATATGCAATTTTTTAATAGATATCAAGAACGTTGAATATTCAACTAAAAACACTACTGATAAACATTCGAAAATTTGCAAAATTGCGAAATTTTCAGAAAAGAAGAATGTTTACGGCATTTGATTAATCTTTTAGAAACGTAGATGGTACCAGCATACTAGCATTACTAAATGATTTACTTTATAAATATCATAAATACCAATTCTAATTTATGACCTACTATCCGTTGCTGAGTACTAGTTGGACAATTATCATTAAAATAAAATTTAATCATTAAGATTTAGTTGTAAATGTTGTTAAATATTTTCTTTAGGAAGAAAAACTAGAAAAATAATACTTTGTGTTATTGCTAGAAGATTTGAGTTATGACATGAAACTTATAATCAGAACTTTTTGTTTAGATTATTTGTGCTACTATTTCCAAGATTGCCGATATCATTGATTCATTGCATAAATGCGTAAAATAGTGTTTGTAATAATACAATAAAAAAAATTGGTATACTCATATTTCGAGATCTAAATTATTTAAACTCAGCAAACGGATTATAGCAGATGCAACATGAAATGGACCACTGAATAGTATCTTATCAAGGTCAATCTGCATCCTATAAGTTTATGTAAAGAAAATATGAAGATGTGCCAACTCACCCAGCCATTTCACGTAACTATTTAAAAGGGACACGACACCTCTCATGTCCCAAACGTACGAATAAAGGTCGTACACTAGTTCGCGATTGTTGCAGTATGTAAGTCTTTGGAACAATCTGTTTACTGCGTTACACATATCATTCATCTTAGCAGCACGAGCATGCCATTCGTCAGCCTGTAATGTATTTAAAAAAAATTAAGTTTGATTAGTTAAAGATGTCTTTTGCGTAGTAAAATTGAAAAATTATAATTGAACGATGGGTTATTATATAAACTTACATCAGCTTTCGAATTTTCTTCTTCGTCCTTAGATTTCTTTATTACAACTTGAGCGTTGCTTTTCAACCAATTGAATTCTTGTAATAACTGTATACCTTGACCACCATGTTCAAATGGTAGATAAAATAGATCACATAGGAGCGATAGGTCTTCCTGCGTAAGTTGCTTATCTGGATCCTTTACGTCGAGTAAATCTGCGCTATCATGATTCTCATTATCATTTTCAACTATCATTTGCGTGCCGTTCACTGTGGGTGAAGTTCCATCTACTTCGACTTGCATACTTCCTGAAGCACCACTACATGTCTGGCAGAATGATAAGTTATATTAGTTTAATCAGTATACTGGTGAACCCGAAATCAACATTTTGTACCAAAACTCGTAGGAGCGAATAATTCAGTATTTCACATGAAAGCTCATCCATAGGGTTTTTTTTTTGGCAGCTGAATACGAATCCAAACTCGCCACTATGAATTTCCCAATTCTGAGTTCAAATTTGTAAATTTAATTTGCGCACATTTCATCATTACCAGTTTTGGCACGAAAAGTTTCTGCATATATATGCGTCATTATCAGTTAACTGGTTAATCTATTATTTACTAGACAGATATAAGTGATCTAATATATTTTAATTTCTTTCTAGAATACAGACAGAGCGATTTTAAAAATTCCATTTAGTAGTTCATAATAGGCGTACATTTGAATAAATAATATGTTCCTTACTATAATAAAGCCATTCATGGAACTTACCGAAGTATTTTCTACCATCGAATCATCCTCTGTTGGTATTTTAACCAGATGAATGGGCGAATTTCCAGGAGTGGTGTTACAGTCCATCGGTTCTGTAGAAGGAGCAGCGGGTACAGGCGCACTGGGAACTCCCAAAGGTGTAACTGCGGGCATGATGGGCTCGCTAACAACTTTTGTATCAGACACTAGAGAGTTCATAACAGGTCCTGTTGTCGGCGGCGGCGGGAAGTTCTCACTTCCCGTTACATTCGAGCAAACCTCTGCTAATGCTTGAAGATGATTTGAATTATTTACAGGAGCAGTTGTGGCAGATACGGTAGTGTTCGTGGTGGCAGTGAGACTCATACAAGTATTCACTGATGGAATAATAGGAATTGGTATGGTCGGTGCGACGCATGGTTGTGGTTTTGCTATGACACCCCACGCAGCACGCTTTCTACTGAACTCCGCGAGCCAATCATTTATAGAATTCTTTAATGCACGTCGTGGATGATACATGTTTGGAGATAGTGTCGATGGAACATCTTCTCCTATCACACCGTCTTCAGTCTCAGTTTCCAATTTAATATCCGCTGATACAGTGTCATCTAACGTGAAAAAAGAAATCGCAGCGTAAAATTATTCATAGGAAAAGTTTACTTTTTAGAGTACTAAAGCGGCAGGACTTACTTAAACTCAAGTCTCTTTTGCCGTCTACATTACATCTACTCCATTGTGCTAAGGTATGAATTGCGACGAAATTTGCGCCATATTCGCAGTTAGGATTAGTTAATACTCCTCTGAGCTTGGGAATAAGATCTGGAGACCTTCCAGCATATGGCCCAAGGAATACTCGCTTTTGATCGTAATCATTAGCGTGAAGATTGTCCCAGATAACTGGTGGCCTTCTTAGGACTTCCGTGATCTCTTCTATAGATTCGATTGTCAGGAGTCTTGAAATTACCTTTGGACCAGTCCACATTATATCTATTTCTTGTGCTAATTTACTACCAAGCGTATTAAGGTACTCTGACGTTGCGACATTCGGCATCGCGCGTGTCCCACAGTACTGTGTTGGACACAAGAGGAATCGTGGCTGGCCAAGATGATGAAAAATATCATTTGTCACAGAGACCTAGACAACAATATTTTATTAGTATATAGATAGTCACTATGAGCTACAATTTATATGGATTGAGTACTATTTACATACTTGTGCGTGTGCAAATGACTGGAACACTTCTTTGTCTGCTTCGCTCATTTCTGGTTCAATATCATCGAACAATAAGGCAAATGCTGTACAGCCAAATTGGCTAACTTGTTCGAGTTTCCTTTTCAATGCAGTTATTTCTTTTGTGCTAGAGTATGTAATATCTAAGCCTGGCGATAAGGCATAATAAAATGTAATTCCACATTCTCGAGCAGCTGCAATTAATCCTGTTAGATGTTCAGCTTCTTCAACAGTATATAAATCACGCCAGTATGCACGATGCTTATAATCATCCTTTGGTGCATATAAGTAGGAGTCCATGCCCCATTTCTTTAGCCTGCAGAGTATAAGGCTTGATTAGCATACTCACAGTATATAATGTACTGTAAACAAATTTACAAAGTGTATGGAACTACTACCGATCAATGCAAACCCTCTATAATAATACATTAAAAATATTTATTATGGTCTTTAATTAATATTCAAAATGTAATTTAAAGTTAAAATTAATTAAATTTATCTAAAATTATAATAAAATCAGGATATGAAAGTTATCTAATTTGGCATTACACTCACTTTTGAAATAAATCCTTTCGCTGCTCCGTTGTCCAAGGACGCCCATAAAATCCTATAACAATTAAACAGTGGTGAAAATCTTATACTCTCGGAGTAAATAAAAAATAAAAATTGCAGTGACAAATAAGCATATTGTATTTGACGTCAGAGGGTACTTGACAAAATACATTGCGGTCCAAGGCAAAGTTTTCCGTAAAAGAAATATCAAGCAATAAAACAGTAAGAATTTTAAATAATTCATTTACCTTCCACTACACCACAGATAAAATTTCCATTTTTTGTGTTTAAATTGGCGGCCCCGTTCGTCTCCGCCATTGCAGACCGTAAGAGACACGGTTGTTTGGAACTGGAGAGTGAAAAATGGCCGAAAGAATTTCTCCTATGAAATTCACGGCAATGTTCCGTTAAAACTTAAAAAAAAAATGAAATTCCGAAGCCTTTTTAGGACCCAAGAAATACGTTCATCACTACGATTTTTTGGAAGCAGAAGATATTTCTTGGAAAAACTACGGAGTTCCTCAAAGTGTATGCATCTGCCAGAGAACTGATCGATACTAAACGATCTCTCGATCTGTGGGGACTAGTGACTTTAAAAAAAGGACTCACATTTCTCTTTAAGACAACGACATCTAGCGGATAATCTTGAAAACTCAAAATAAACACGTATACTTGGAGTTTATGCAAAAAAAACAAAACTCAATATCGATTGTTGTAAGGGTGGTTTATGTAATAAAATTAGACGAGCACTGACCCTGTATATCGGGAAAAGGAAAGAATCATGAAAAAACATTATCAGTTATCCCGAAGTTGAACGTTGCATTTTTAGTCATTGGTTTATTGAAAATGTAACATGTAATTAAGCAACAATAGATAATAACGATAATATTATAAGTTACCCTCATACATCTAAATTTGACGATTCCCATTCGAATTACTAATTACTATTATTATATTAATACGATACTTCGGAATCATAAATTTAATGATCTTCAAATGTCTCACTCATTAGTGTTACTATCATCTAGTATGTACTTATTGTCGCATTACATTCGTTGCCAGAATCCTTATGCATAAAGCAAGTTAACATATAAGCCAAAGGAAAAAGAAAAGAACCCATTAAAATAATTAAATATATATTGACGAATAAAAGACTCTTACAGAAGGGTACATGATACATAAAATGCAATAGAACATAACAGTACAAAATGTAATATAGTATAAATCATACTGAGAGAAATATAATAATAAAATAATAAAAATAAATGTAATAATAATACACACAGCTAAATGCAGTAGTAGATCGTGACGACAATAATGAATGGTAATAAAGTAGTCCGAAAATATAATATAATAAGTAATATAAAATAACGTGGATCATTGAAATAGGCGAATGAGGAAATACATGAAACAATTTGACTGAGGGTGTCAATTATTTTTTAATAAAGCCTGGAATGCATATCGATGGTCTTGACGTTGTAATAGTATATTTGACAAGTCTATACGCATCACGTCGAGTAAAATACGAGAAGCGCTTATAAATCGGCACGTTCTAATCAATTTATACAAATTTATCCTTATTAAATTGATTTGAGTTAAAAAACAAAATACAAAAAAAAAACAATGGCATACCATACTCGTCCGTTCGCTCTCAAAGTTTTACAAATTAGCCACGAACAAATGTACAATTAGTCATTTCAGTCTAAAGCGAAGTTCGCGATTAGCGGTGATGGGTAGAGAAGGGGAGGGATTATGAAATTCTGCGGAAGTGGATATGAATCCAAAAAGTTGCACCGTTGTTCCACGGCCTCAAACGTTTCTTATATGTGTTTAAAAGAGACTCGTCGCAGTCGCTAAATCGACGAGTTAAAGACGCTCCGTCGTCGTAGAGTGAGCTGGCAAGTTGCTGAATGAAAATTTTCGGATCACGATCAGCTTGGCTCATTTTCGTTGAGGAGCTAGGTTTTGATCGTTCGAAATGAAGATCACAGATCACCGTTTGATACGGCGATTGGCGTTGGTGCGGTTGTGTTACCCGAGCTATTGGTACTCCATTTGTTTTTATGTGGATCAACTCCGAAACCCTCGTCGTAATTGCCCCGCGTGATGAAGAGTTGTTTGAAGTGCGGGATGCAGTAGAGCTTTCCATTGTTCAAGGTAAACGTATCCATTCTGTGGGAAGATTTATTGTTTTACAGTTTTCTCTTCTTTCCTTTTCGACTCATTCATTTTACTGTAATTTCTGGGAAGGACTCACCTTAAGATGCAATTGCACTGAAGACACCGGAAGCACTGCTTATGGAAGATCTTATTGTTCGTTTCAACCTTCTCCAGGGGATAGACCTTCTTCTGGCAACTCTCGCAGACCTCCATGCAGCTCGTTTGGATTTCCTGGCATATATTTCATATTGATAAGTTTCAACAAAAGGAGAATCAAGAGAGTTGGAGTTGGTATTAATTTCGTACAGAAAAGTGAAAAGGATATTGGTGAATTTTAGGAAAATGTTTCTTTTTCTTTTTTTATATGTCAGATGCTCACCTATTATTTGGTTGATCGGTAAGATACTTATTATGCGAAGTCCAATGAGAATGTGCGGGAATAAGAGATGAAAAAGAGATATCTCTAGGAATTCGTTGAATTTATCCTGACATAAGATTTGTGAATACATCTTTTTGCATTTGACAGTTTGACCCAGGATCTCGATCCGTTTTCGTTAAAACATATTCACATTTTATTAACTGATAGCCATCGTATCTTAATAAATGTTACACGTGAATGTTAAACAAGGAAATAGTACGCAGTGACAAAAGAGAAACTATACGATATAAAATATGACAAAAAACGCAAACAACATAGTTATAATCAACGTCCTTATTACGATATAAATAACGGACGCGAAAGATCGTCCCTTAAAATATAATAGATTACCTCATAATCATCATCAGTCGACAATACATCTTTTCCAATGACACTTAATTAAATCGATTCAATCCAGCTGTAATTATTCGTAAACCAGTTTTCAAGTAGGCCACGGGATTTGTAGGTTATCCCACGAGGATATTGCTATACGCATATTGTACGGTACCAAATAGAGGAGAAAATGGGGATGACAGAGTAGCCGATCATGATCATCATTGTCATCGAAATCGTTTAATAAATATTTTCCAAAGTATATCGGTCGAAAGTCCGAAGGGCACAGAATATGGCACGATTAGCTATGGAACGTCAAAATGATGGACTCCTCGGTATCATTGAAGGTTCAATGATCAATGATAATCATTAATCAGGTTTAATTACTTTCCTACTTCGGACCCTTCCGACTCTCTTTGGACCTTCTGGACTCCTGAGATCACTCGGACGAAATTTTTCTCGTAACTTGAAACGTCACTTTTGCGCCAAATCGATGCGCAGTGCCGAATTTTATCGATTACGTGAAAAATAATTGAATATTATACGATAATCGCACGCGTGATCCCATATGAGTGATTGTGCGTGTATACACGTGCACGAAGAAGACTACCTGTTTATGTATAATAGGTATAAATGTATTTTAATATATGACGATCGCATTTCCTTATGACGATGAGACTGTGACGATTATTTCTTATGGCTTAAGACCGCCGAAAACCTCGAAGATTCGTGATGATCGTCACGAGGAAACATTTTTCTCATAGAGACGAGAATTACGAGGCTCGCCTATGTCTCGTTCAACGAATCGGCACGTTGTAAGGGTTAATGAAAAATTTCATAGACGACAATTCGAATTGTCATTGCACGTCAATGCCTTGTCGACCTTACAAATCAACGAGTACCGTAGTCTTTTTTGGAGGAAAAAAAAAGAAAAAATATATATCTTGAGATTTCGAGGAAGGTCATTCCCACCTTTCGATTAATCTTCTTTTTTGCATCACTCTAAGACTACCACGCGATATCCAGCACGTTCTTTTATTCACTGATCGAAGCATAGGCTAGCACGTGTACCGGATACGGCGAGTAAAGCTATCCTTATTATTAGACACTTTTAATACACTTGTTTAAAAAAAAACGAATAATTAATATTATTTGCATGGAAGACGTAAGGATATCGTGACCACGATTGACAATGAATATTGATAATGAAACAAAAAATGCATCGTTCGAACGGTAATATTGGCACTGAAATTAGCCCGAGTCTCACAGCGGATTCGTCTCTGTGAATTTTCACAAACATTGAGTCTAAATGAAAGGAAGCTTCGCTCGCCATAACCGATTTGGACAATATTAAAATTAGTTTATTGATATATTCCTTAATGTTACTAGTATCAATTTTAAACCTGACTCTACAATATTACTTTTGCGAGATTGCCCGCGCGTCCCGTATAAAAAGCTAGAATGGCGTATCTCTTGAAGCAGTAAAAAATTCGAAATTTCGTAAAAGCATTCATGAAGTTCGTAGTAAACTTTTCTTGTAGTTGATCGCATCAGCGAGCTATCGTTGATGAAAAGTAATTCTCTCAAATCAGTCCATTTAATATTATATCCTACGTTACGCGAAGCACGAATCGCTCAAGTTCTCCATTGCTGTATTGCTTGGTACTCGACCAAAAAAAAAAACTGAGACCGGGACTATTATTAAAAAAAGTTGCAACTCAAAATCAACGCAACGTATTAGTTGTGGATTTTACACAGTGAATAAAAGAGACGAGATTATAATAAAACGTGAACGAGAGCCTTTTAATATTTTTTCACTGTATAAAAAAAGATCAAGAGAATCTTAATAATGATACACTGACGTCGAATGATCGAAATTTTAACACAGTCAATAAATCACTTTGATTCGAATGAATAAATTATTTTTTAAAATTACAAAGACTACTCATGGCTAATGACGCTACGATGGACGCAGGCTCTCGCAACAGAACAATACGCGTGACATAGAAGTCCACTAAATACCAAATGGACACATACTTTACACGCTAAACTTACTCGTACTGGACTAAAGCAATATCTTTAGAGTTGAAATGATATTTAAAGTGAAAGAAACAGAAAAGAAACGTAAAGATCATCGACAGTACAATAATTGATATCCGTGTCGTCAACATTGAGTCCACAAAACTCAAGACTCTCTTTCTTGACATCGTCCCGACTCGTTCTTGTTATTTCTATTGGGTTTTCTTCGACGTTTTCTTCCTCTATCTCATCATCATCATCTGTTTCTTTCTTCCTCCTCTTCGTAGGGATCCTCTCCAACTCTCTCGCCGAGTCGATCGCCGCTGTCGACTCTTCTTCAGTCTTGACGTCTTTACTGCTCACGGAAACAGCGAGTAATTCGTTTGTGATTATTTTTGTGAACCTCAACAGCAGGTACAGTCATACGACAAAAGTATAACGACCATGTAACACACAAACGCCATAGGCACAGACCAGTCATTCCAAATTTAAGGATGCCATTCGTAGCAAAGTGCAAAATTATAAATAACGTATGAAAACGATAACGAAATTACGATTTAAAAAAAACACATAATCTACTAACAAAAATAATCACATCTATTTTTCATGCCAAGTCAGTACACTACGACAACGATTTAGAGCCGCTCTGATATGTGCAATTTTTGCAAAAGGACGTAACTAGTTGAAAACAAATAGTGAAAGCTTTGCGGTTTTATGTATTAAAAAATTAATTTTAACTAAGACTAAGGATCCTTTCAAATATCCACTAATTAATTTCACACGCTTTTTGATTTGTAGGTACTTCAAGCATTAGAAATTTTAGTGTTAATACGCGTAACACAGTTTACAAACACCATCAAATTGTCTCACATAATTCTCACGTGTTGTTATTCACTTAACGATCTAAGACGCATATATAGTAATTGAAAGACAACGACAAATAATCGTAATTGAAAAATTAACGTTGTTAGAGGGTCAAACAATCAAAAGCAAAATGGGCTTTGCATTCTCGTTATTCAGAGCGTTCGGTATTGCGAGGTGCGAACATCGATTAATGTATGTCAAACGAGCCAAGATTGTTAGGTGTACAAACTGGATCAGAGTGACACGGTAATCCAATAAGAATTCATACCATGCACTCCGTCGAATAGTTCTTATAGAAGAAAAAAAAAAAGAAATACCAACAACAGATGCAACTATTCGTCAGAAAGTATATATTTTAGCTGATACTTCATAGGTATACTTCATGTAAATCGTTCTTTGGAAAAACATTAATCCAAAGACACATTTTCAGTGGCTTGAGAATCATGATATCTAATTGCAATACAAAAAAACGTAACCGTATCGAAAGAACGACTTAAGGCGATACGCAGTGAAGAAAATCGTAAATTACTTGGTAAATTGCTAGTGTTATACCTGTTTCCGCTGGGCATGAGAAAAATGATAAATACGAATGAATATCATGGTTGAGAGTGGGAATCGGTAGAAGATTGTAAAAGGTTATAATTGGTTTTGCATTAAAAATAGATCATGATTGGACGTATTGTCGTCTTACTTATATATATTGTTGACATTTATTTCAGGATTATCATGCAAAACCAGAGGATAATATGGACGTAGACAGGGGGATGAATGTTAAATCGATAAAGGGGGTACCAATGTGACTCACCACAAATCGGTTGACCTTGACCTTGGGCGTGCGCTGAGATTCGCTCGTCTGAGAACCAAGAGACTCGAAGCGAGCCCTAAGGCTGCTCGCAGACTCTATGCTAGATTGTTCTCCAGCACCTTGAGCAATTTCCATCTCAGCAACGTGATGACTGCTTACTTTACCATCGGCTTCCTCCCAATGTTCGAATTTCGCACGTAAAGTCTTGGCGCGCGCTGCATTTTGCGCCTGCTTAAGGAATTCGTCCTCTACCTACAACGAGTATAAATTATACAGTGATGCGAGCGATTAGCAGAATAATACATGTATCCTAGTTGGTTAATATAAGATTACCTTATCGGATGCTCTAACGTAATTAGGATCCCTCTCCTCGGCACTGTCGTCACCTTCGGATTCCTCAGCCTCTTCGTCGTCTTCCTCGTCAGACTCGGAAGCCGTTGGTTTCGCAAATTTGTCTTCCGGAGGCGGCGTGAAACATTTCAAAGGTTTAGGTCCCTCCGGAAGTTCATCCTTGGTCGCGTTTTCCTCCATTTGCCGGAAGATGGACAGCATCTTCGTCGCGGTGTCCGTGTGTACGACTTCGTCGACTCTGTCCTCCGCCCTCACGACGTCCGGATCACGATAAATCTCACGTTCGGGAGAGTCCATCTGAGAATATATGAATAATGAGACTTTATTCTCTGTCCAGGAAAGTCATAACAGATTGGACGGTTGCTATTAGTCAATTATTCGATGGTTAATCGCTGACGTGAGTCAAATCGTTTAGAGGCGATTACAGGTTTTTGGCGATGCTAAATTGCACATACGGCTAACGTGACTAATGACTGTAATTCGTTTGATTAGTTGCTGCTAATTTTACGGTTTAACGATTGTACGAACCATTTTAATAGCTTGATCGTTTCTACGATTTCCATTTATAACGATTTCATTTACATTACCACCTCGATTCCCCCCTCACCCGCCCCTCTTACTCTTTACGCAATTCTGTCAAATTTTTTATCTCAAAGATAAAAAATTTTTAAACAAAATTGAGAATACAGGTAATTCCCCTGTTTGACCGACGAATTTCATGGTATGCGATGCTTCGGATATTTTTTCAAAAAGAAGAAACATTTTGTAAGAAAAACCACTGACGAGCGCGAGGTCTCTGGCCGCAAACTCATCAAGGCGATCGCGCAGTTGTGCGATCCGCGTGTGCACATGAGCGAAGAATACTTCAAGAAGAGCCTGATGAAGGAGGTGGAAATGCCGGATGGTATGGCAGTGTGTTTGAATGATGATTAATATCATCCTATGTAGGGTTACGATGTGCCGACGAAAGAATAACCATGAAAGTCCAATAATATGACAAAATATATATAACAATTTGAATACATATCTGAATTAGGAACTAACGTCCGAGGAGCATTTCGCGAAATTTACGAGCGTTCGTACGTAGTCGAAAGAGTTCTTGAAAATTTTCTGAATCCGTGTCCCTCGTGCCAAGAAACACGGTCGCTGAACTCTTTAATTGGCACTTTTTTTAAATACCGGCCAGTGTATCCTACTCGTGTGCAATAATTAACGTACGGCAGACAATTACTTTGCTTTTGTAATGAGACACAGTCTCTACGAGGTTGGTTGGTTAGGAAACAGCTGGCCCTCGGGCTCGACAGAATGTCTCGATCGGTTGTTTTGTAAAAGAAAACTATAGAAAGGGTGTGGTTGCCATCCGTTTGACATATCCGACAAAAGGAGACCTTGACCATTAAATAGTTAAAAATTTCGAAATATATTTCGAACAATAATAAATGATACACGTTATACCGGTTTTCGTAATTTTTCCAGAAGCGTATAAACTCTTACGAGTAATATTAATAATCTTAGACTTTGACGTATACGAAAAATTATTCTAAACCGTATCTTAAAATCACAATTTTTTACTACCCAAACCACACGATTACCATATATTTAAAAATACACCACACGTTTTTATCAAGATGACTGCTGAGAGTCAGCCCTGTTCGTATACAGACTTCTCGATTCAACAAGTCGCTCGAGTCAACCCGCCCCAAAAACATTATCCCAAGCTATAGGCCGTATATACAACAGTCAGTAGCGTGAATGTCCCAAGGAAGCCGAGATGCAGTCAAAGTCAGAAAAACGTCGAAGAAAAATATTCCCTCCGAGTGAATGACGAATACACGTGTCCAAGGCGATTAATAGATGTGAGTGACTTAAATGAGAACCAGCACGATGCCGTTACCTCGAGTTTCGTTGGCGTTTCAATCCTCACCGTGACGTTCGTGATGCACAAGAAGGAGTGCGTTACACGTCAAAGGATTTTCTCGTTGTTGAGTATACGAAGAAGAAGTTCGCTAGCAGCCGGCCGGTCGGTCAGTCGTTAGCCAAGTAGCTCTTCACGAATGGAAGGATGTAGGAATACTAACGGTAAGTATGGCTGGCCACTCGGGGTTCAAGGACAGCCAAGAAATCAAGTGCCACTGTACCCCTGTATCCCCGTAGGTAGGACGCCCGAGCCGTACTGGCCGACGTAGAGGACGAGAGCCAATCGGCAGTGGTTTTGTCCTCTCGTTCTCGGAGTTCTCGCGCGTTCTCTCATTCCCGCCGCCATGCGTCTGTCTACCCTACTCTTTTCTCCTCGCAACCCTGCTCTAAGTAACTAACATCCTCTTTACTCCCTCCAGGGCGGCAACAGACTGTGCGAGCACGGTTGCGTGCCTTCTGCACCACGACGACACATGCCTTGCGGTATGCATCGTGTTCTCAGGTAGGGTTCCCCCTCTCCCACGTACCCTAGCGTCTACCTACCTCGTAGAGGAATTTCGATAAAGAACTTTTTTTCCCCATTTTTATTTTAGGTTAGGATGCGTCAAAATGTTGAGTTTACAAACTTGGACGGCTGGTGCCTGAGTTTTTCGATCAGAGTGATGCTGAAAGGTTTTGGTTATGGCGGCACAGCCGGCTTTGCGTCAAAACGGTTTTCCGTCTTTAGATATGCTCGATCGTACGATACGGTATTAAATGTGGCGTACGTGCTCGCGCGGTAAGAAAATTCTTGGGGGGATTCTGAAAATCACGTGTAAGCAGTTAGAACGTTTCTTCGGAAATGCGTATTTGACGGTTTGGGAATGTCGAGACTTTATGGTTCTGTAACGCGGATGTTTTCGGTGATATTTTGCCGTTCACGTTGCCGCGAGGAAATTATTCATGTTTAATAAAACTTCGAGTCTACGAAATCATTTAAATGTGCAGCACTGCGAAATAGGTATATTAGTGAAGGCGTTAATTTTTAATGAGGCTCCAAAATTATTGGGGTCGAGTGGAGAATGTAATCGTAGAAGCTGGAGTGGGTGGTTATATATATTAATATGCACAGGATATAAGAACTTTTATTAAGTAGGAGCTTCCCGTTAATAATGATATATGATAATTATTGTGGTTAGTAAAATCGGTTTTAGAGAAACTTATAGAGTGAATTGGTTTTAATCATTTGCCTACGTATTCGTGTAATTGCAATGCGGTTTAAATGACAGTCTTCTGTGACTCGTGTGTCATAATTTATGGACGAGAATATGATTTATGGGATACAACCGTTACACCATGCTAAATTTCAAAATTAGCTAATTTCATCAGTTCGTATATCCAATGACGTACCGATAAATCGGAGTGATCTAAACGTGTTTTATAATTATAGTAGCAAATCGATATTCAGCCGATTTACAAGATCAGAGGAAAATATATAATAACGTATTGCATACAGTTTATATTTTTAAAAGTTACTGCATTTTCGCGAGAAATATGAGATAAGACGTTCGCGACAATTTTTTGATAAGGAATAAGGAGAAACAATTTTACACAAACAACAAAACCATCCGCAATGTGCCGAGTGTCGAGCGATGTTATTTTTAAATAAGGATGTCGGTAGATTTGTTAAAAACACTTATCTCGCGCTTATTCTTCAAAATACACACGATAACATTAATCGAATCGGATTCGAGTCGGTAAAATCCTTTGTAAGCAGCTTTATCGTGCAATAAAGAAAAAAAGTACATGGAACAATTTGTTATTTCGAGATTAAATATTTCTCTGAAGCGAAACAACGATAAACGTACACACTCAAAATTAAATTTTATTGTCGGTAATAAAATTTTTATTTTCCAATTTTTTGCAATCTGATGGGAATACGATGTTTGAACATACTATTTGGACTCAAGACCATGCAACGTACGACTTGCGATTTCATACGAAGGAAAAAAAGCATTAATATATTTTTCTTATGCGTTCGTTTTTTTTCGAACAAAAAAGTAATTGTGCTCATAAGCTGTTATTTGAATTTGCCGCGATATATTTCAATACTCCACTCTTGTACACACGCACACACTTTAATAGCGAACCTTAACTTGGCCGTCACGCGGCGGAGTAATTCTGAACTGCTTTCGTTGCTTTTCTGGTTCCTTGTAGGCCTCGAAGAATTTAAACTTATTGGAGATATCGGTAGTCTCCACGCGAAACTCCTCAGCAGCGTCTGTGCTACGTACCACGTCTTCCGATACTTGACGGCCCATGAACGCCTTTCAACCATACGTCAAATTTTTATAACGCTAAAATATTTTTCTATCCATTTCTTTACGCTTCCGCAACATTCGCCATACATTAGTATACACCGAGCGCGATGCTTTCGTACTATCTTTTTTTAATGCAAATGTATGTAGTACAATTCAATGCATAGAATAGAGAATTGAAGTATACGGTGGTAAAAGCCACTCGCTGCTTATCACCACATTTCTAAGTACTTATAAGAGTACCTGTTTATGTAATTTAAATGCTGTACTCGCATTGCACTTAAAAAAATACATTGACACGAAAAACCTTAAAATATAGAATTTATGAAACTACATTTTCACGGCTGTTCCTTTTGCATTTCTAAGACGCTCCAACCAAGAGGATTTTGATAGATGTACAATTTATATAGAAAAATATTTGTCATTGTCACGACAGTTTTTTTTTCGATAGTCAACATTTTTTAAAACAATTTTTATAAATATTGTTGACTGGCACCAGTCATCGGGTTTTTTTTGGCGCTTCGGCTCAATAGCTAAGTAGGAAAATCAATTGGGCGTAACTGGTACGCAAGTGAGAGAGAAACGTGAAGAATAAAAAGTCCGTATATAAAAAGAGTATTTAAATTGAAAAAAAAAGAAAAAGAAAGAGAATGAAACTCACATCTCTGGCGCGACGTGATGTGGTGTCAGTGGCAGGCGTCTTGGGAGTGACAGGCGTGACAGTCCGTCCCGTTTTCGCTGCTGAAGCGTCCAGCTCTAGGAAGAGAGTGCGAGACTTCTTGCTGATACCTGGGAAGGTAAACAGGTCGACGTGTATCACTAGCGGGGAAAATCATAACGATAAATAGATAAAGAATATTATTTTCCCAAAGATCCTCCGGATGGAAGTGAATCATTTGCAAATTTAATTCACAGTCTGATAATGTGGACCCGGTTACTACTGTTCTTATAATAAGTAAATATCTGTACTATTAAGAGAAAGAAAAAAAAATGGCAGGATTCAGTACGAGGAATTGTCAATCATATTGATCGTAAAGTGACAATTGTTTTACCAGCAGCGATTACTTCTTCGTCTGGTTTTTCTTGTTTTGGCTTTGAATCAGTTTCATCATCCGAAGCTGCGATTGGTTCACCCCTTTCAAATCTCTCTTTGATCGAACGCGTATGAGCTGCATGCTGAATTTCTTCTGCTGGATTGATCTTGGTAACACGCTCGCTCTCAGCAACAGCTTGTTGATACATTTCCTTCATTTTACCCTGCTTGCCCTGAAATCCCGATGAAGTGAAAATAACTATGAGATCAGAGATACCAACTGACGTATTCAATAATACGTATATCCTAAATAAATAAAATATTTGAACAGTCCGAAGAAACGGATAAAGACAATAGTCGATAAATTATAATTCTTACCATAAAGAGTCTAGAACGTATTCCAGCAATTTCTTCTTTGCGTGCTTCGCGCTGCGACTCGCGTCTTCCTTGCTGACTGGTGGATTCCCAGCGATTCTTTATATCGTCCATTTTCGAAAAGCTCATAGGACGCTCACGAGTTGCTCGTTTGGCTTTTACGATTTCCGTATCTACTTCTGTAATTTAAAAATAAGGATTGACAAACGTTTATATTAATATCTCAATTATTTTTGAGTAAACGCTTCCGCCGAGTCTCAAAAACAGTATTGAATATGTACAAAAACGAAATAGTACACAAACCTTCGCTTTCTTCGATCTCTTCTTCGCTTTCACTAGACTCCTCGAAGGGGATACCATTGAGTGATTCGTCTGCCACTCCAATATCCATACCCTTAGACTGGAACCTTTTCAAATCAATGTAAACAAAACTTAAAAACATTTTTATAAAGGTATGACACTCGGTGCCAGCACGTCTTGCCGTTAGCAAGTGTTGTTACAGTTTCAGTCAACGTTCGTTTTAAAAGAGCTCGAAAATGCTGACTCTGAGATATCACGAATCAGCTATTCAAATTGGGCTAACGATTAGTGCAACTTCGTGCAAGCCATTTATTTTCGCCTCGGTGTTGTTTTGAAAGAAAAAAATCCATAGCCTGTTGTATAATTCTTATGCGAATTTTCTTAGGTACCTCATTCTCTTATAAATTGAACGTATCCAATTAGGCATAACTGCTAGGCGTGTTTCCTGACTAAGCATTGTAACGTTTGCTTTTACTAAAGAATTTCTTGATCAATAACGAAGCTTCGCTGTGTCTTCGTATAAGCTTGCCAGTCGCTGGTATACCTACTTTGCGAGTTTGCTCAGAATACTTGGTGACCTTTTGACTGCCACCTGCGACGGTGACCTCTCGATGTCGTTCGTCGCCTCTGTACTTCCCTTCTCGAACACCTGGAAGCGTGACTTGACGTTCAGCGTGGATAATTCCTCCAGTCCCAAGTCCGGCTTGTCGGATGCTGAAATTTTCAATTAATTATATTAATACCTGTCCACGATATATGTTTATTCCTCTAACGGAACACAACAACTTCAACGGAACACACTTCTGCTCGCACAATTAAAGCTCATTGGGATTGTTAGACGATGCCAATACCCACTCTACACGCACCTTCGTCACCCAACCTTTGACCAACGCAGAACACTTTCATTTGACTGAAGTTTGTGGTGAAAAGAAAAAAAAATGCTTTATGAAAATTAAAAAACTAGATCATGACTATGATTGTCTGTTTTACATGAAAATTTTTTTTTATCAAGGTCAAAGCAGGATGTTTCAATGATTCACTGTAATGTCACTTATGCGTTGCGTGATACGTAGCGTTGAAGGAAGTCTGGGTCTCACATCGACCCTGAGTGGAATCTAAAGGATAAGACAGAATGCTAAGTAAGGAAGGCGAAATTCGCTCGGTGCTCGTATCCTGCGATAAGGATAATAGGATGTATGAGTAATAAAACGTTAAGGTACACACCTTTCACAACGACAAATGTTAGAAAAACAACGAGGATAGTTCATCACGTGAAATGCTGACGAGGAACTGAGAACACGTGCGTTAGCGACATTGACACAAGCGTAACTTGCGTTGGGTTGGATCGATAAGTAACCACGGAAAGGTGCACGCACTGTTCATGTTCTTTTTCTACACGATAGTGGTCATCCAAGAATTTCAACAATTAAATTAATGTCACCGGAGTGAAGATCCACGTAAATGACTTCGAAGTTACTCGAAACGTACGTAGATGACTGTGACGCATTTTGAAAATTTTTTAAATACAATATTTCTATCGATGAAATCCTATATTCCAGTTCGTAAAATATCCGATAAATTTTTTATGTACACTATCGACGAAAAAATATCACCGGAACGTCATCGGACGCAGAGAGTGAAAATAAATACGCATAATCGAGTCTAACATCGTGAGAACATAGTCGTGAGACTTTCAGCGGACGAAATTCAGGATTATTTGCGTGAGGCGATTATTCAGCTTGCTGATATTTCCTTTTTTTCTTCACATTCCTTTACCTCTGACCACGTCAGGCGGTAGCTCTTTCGGCTGGTTCTCCCGAATGATCATCTCTGGCTTTCGGGGTCGCACTGGGAATTTTACAAGAGCAGACTTTATCGTACAGCAGTGATAGAAGCTAATGGAAAGAAATACCTTAGAAAATTACATAGAGAAGACGCGATTAAACGATTGACCACGGGGCTACCCGTTTCCCGTAATACTTTTGGTACTGCAAGCTTAGAAAAGTTAAATACTCACTTGGCTGGTCCGATTCCTCGACTGGTTTCGGCTGGAAGAGCTCCTTGAAGTGCGCCTTGCAGTAGAGGGTGCTTTCGTGGCTTTGATAATTATCGACGTTCAGCTGTTTACTGCACTGAACGCACCTGAAGCAATTCTTGTGCCACACGGAACCTTCGGCCTTTGTCTGTTCCATTTGGAACACGACTTTTCCACAACTGCGACAATTCGGATTGACGTCACCATTTTGACCGACCTGCGAACGAAATACGTATTGTTGAAATATTCTTTGCTCTTACATCACGTGTACTTCCTTGTACGCTTTTACGCTTTCCGTATTGGCAAATGTACTTATATAACGATAATTTAACGCTATTACGGATTCTTGTTATTGATTGTTATACGTCGTTACGTAGGTACACTCACTGCATTCAGTTGCTGCTGAACCTTTCCCGCGTCGACGGATCGCACGTGAAGTACTGTCTTCTTGCTGAGAGCATCGAATTTGTTGAAACTCGATTTCTGAAAGTACATCGTAAAGGCGAGAATGCGTTAAGTGCGTCTTAAAGGATGCTGTGTAAAATAGACGATGGTTCGATGTACGACTGTACGATCGTAAACTTAATGCGCGAGAATACAAATAAAGGTTCATATACAGATCCATCGTTTTACGGACTAAGTTATTAAACTGACGTCATGTTTTTTAAATGTTCGTAGTAAATTAAGAAATAAAATTATTCATAAAAAAAAAATTTTTTTTTCAATTCTTTCTTTCGATATCTTTTGAAGGGGGGTATTCTTGCGTCACGCAACTCGTGTATTCCCTTTGATTGGTTTAAGGAGGAATTTTCATATCTCCTGTGTCTTACCTCGAGTTTCGACCTCTCGAAAGTGCCCTCCTTCTCCTTACCCACGTTTGTTAAATTTGCCAAACTACAGTAGGAGGCCCTCTGTCCCGTTGTTTTGGGCATTCGGTATAGTTAAGTTGCATGCACAATCATAGAAGAAAACAAAAATAGCATGGTTGCGGGTTAGTTAAGTAAAACTTCAAAGCGTTACACCACGGTATATGCACTATAGAGCGGCAGTCGGCGATACTATTGGCAAGCGTACGCGTAGGTAAGTAATTAATAGAAATTGCGACAAGCGACCTTTCGACTCCTCGATCTTTTTCTAGTTCCCTCGGCTGCGTCTTCGAAAGCGTTACAGCCGACCGCCGTGTCCATAGACCAAGTACCTAAGTTATTGGAGACGAGGCTTGGCTCTGTGTAAAAAAAAAAAAGCAACTAAAGCGAAATAACGATGGATTTTGAATGTTCGTGAATTTCGGAAAAATCGATTCCAGTGAGTATGGAATTTTGTATCTTTAACGAAATTAGAGACAAGCCTCGTGGTACTACGATCGACGCCCAGCATCCTCGGGTACTTACAAGAGCCTTGACAGACACCCCGGCGAAGATATTGGCGTCTTTGGCGAGCTCCGTATACTCCTGCTCAAATAGTCTCAAGTCACCCATAGATTTTGCTTTCTACGGTACCCAACGTTTGTCCCAAGGTGGTGTGTCAACGAAACTCAAATTAGTCAAATGGAAAAAATAAAATAAAGTGGCAGGAATTTTTGCGGGACCGTCCGGATAATGTCCTACTGGGATATTTTATTTCGAGGATGCTCGATTTAAAAATTGAGATAAAATTTTTTTTCATTAGAACGTCGCGATAAAAATTTTATAATTTATTTTCAAGTTCAAAACTTTACAACGAATATCTTACAGGTTTTTATATGGCCTAACCATATTGGGCACTCTTTCAGAACTTTGGAACAGTGGAATAACGTGAGTTGACTATTAAAATAGAATTCGTGAAACTAAACTCATGAAAATCCATCACTAACTATATATATATACAAAGGTTTCGAACGAAAAATAACGTTACCCAACTTATTTCGAAATCGCTAGAATTTCACGAATTTACGATAAACTTTCAATAACAAAGCAGATTACCTAGAGTCATTTCCGAGTCCATAAAACAATATTCTATTAATCATTTATAATACTGCAAGTCGAGTATCCCAACAAAGTACCGTAGCAAAATTGTAAAAGTACTATAAAATCCCTCGATTTCCAATAGCAGGAACGTAAAATACGGGCGCCATAGGTATCGACGGTTTGCGAACCGCGATCGAGCAGTGCAAAATCTCCAAACGGAGCGAGTTCAAAAGTTGAGTGAGCGTGACGGGGAACCAGGAAAAAGAAGAAGGATAGGAAAAAAAACAAAGGATGACAAATTGAGTCATCGTCCGCTTACCGATGAGTACGAGACGCTGGACACGAGGTTCGACTTGGCATCGGAAAAGACCGTCTGGAATCGTCCGGAAGGTTCGCTGCGCCTCGAATGGAATCTGCGATTCTCCAGAACGTTTCCCAAAGCTCGCTGAGGGTTTATTATAGGTTATGTCGTCGCAGACGTCAGACACGCGATACATTGGTTCAGGCGTTTAGTCGTTTTAGTGGATGATCAAGCGTCCAACGAAGAGAGTTCGAAAGAGGAGGAAGAAGTGAAAACGGAAAAAAGAAAAACAAAAAGAAACACAATAGTAGTGTACGAGAATAAGACATAATAAAGAGGCACGTGCGCATTCAAGTTGTCGATATGAAATTTTTATATTTCCAACGCATACCGATGCAACGAAATACATGCGAGAATGGCCTGACTGTTCAGTGAGAATAGCTAAAGGCGCCAAATTCAAACTGTCATATAATTCCAAAATACCAAAAAATACTTTCGACATTTCGAATACACCTAGCCTGCGGCTAATGACTCGGAGCATTAATATTTTGATATAATTAACAAAAGTTGCATATCAAAAAGCCAATTTTCATAATGCACACAGTAACAGCAAAGTGCATCACTATTCGTCGTCATTAACAAGACAGTGCAGTCTTTCATTAAATACAAAGGCGCGCTCCCGTTTGAATGGTAATATCGAATGTTAAATCGATACGAAACATAGCTTTTGCTGTAGGCATACCCGCTTGTACGGTACGTCCGTATAAATAGACGTCCATTATCGGTAGAGTCTGTGTAACCTTTTTTTTTATATCATGGTCGATCCTTGATTACATTAATATGAAAATCAAAGAAGCATGACGTGCGTTCGTTCTCTCACGATTCTCGGGCTAAATGCGCGAGCGAATACGTGACAGCAGTCAATGACTACATTCACGTAGTACCCTGGATATCGTGTTGGTAAGTACTGTCATCGACGAACGATGAAAACAGTAATTCTAGCTGTAATATATTGGCACTGAAAGTAGACGACACAAAATCAGAGCAAAGTTACAACTAAAAAGCCAGCATCCAATGAAAAACTATTTCTAGAATACCTACGCAAATGACGTGAAGGGTGAGTGAAAATTTTAGAAAGAAATAAAATTAAAAATCAAATTAATAAAAATCAAAAAATTATTTCTGACCACGTGCAGGTACCTTTATTTTTTATTTTTTTTTTCATTCTCGCGATGAAGAATGTACTAGGCACGTCGAGAACAAAGAGCGGTAATGACGCCAGCGCCATTAACACTCTGCTAATATCAAATAGGCTGTCAATTGTTTAATCGAATCCATATGCATAGATTCGTCTTTCAATATGCATAACATTGAATGCCGCATTCAACAAGAGACTCTAGCTTGCATCCGTATATACAGGGTGGGGCATTTATAACGACCAGGTGGATTTCTTCGGAAACCAGACATGAACAAATGTTTCGGACAGAAGTTGTAAAATGGACGGGTGATATTTTAAAAATAAAAAAAAATATCCATTTTGGGTATCCTACGCCTATACCCGGAGCACAAAAGTACAAGTACATTGATAACCCAAAATTTATAGGCGAAGATATTTTTTCGTATTTTTAAAATATCTCATCACCTCTTAACTTCCAGACAACGTACACGTAGCAAGTAGGTACTTGGTTGAATACGGCACTCCAGTCTCTATTTCTTAATTTCCGTGTTATGGTTCATCCGAATGACTTTAATATTCGTAATACGTACCTCCTGAGCGTCCATTTCGTGATCCGAGTGTCCATGCGTTCCTCTTTCGCCGTCGCTCATATTCGACAGGTCGCCAAAGCTGCGGCACTGTTAGCGGCAAAAACACAGCGATACGAATGTAATGACATTAACGAAGCGCATCGTTAATAATTATAGCTATTATTTAGTATTTTTACAGCAGATCGTCGATTGACGATTTAAGATTTTAGCGAATCAACGTAGCATTATGGCAACAGACAAAGTTAATGGGGAAACGACTGCTGTTATTCGTCAATCGGAGAAGCAGCAGCTGATTAATAAATTCGGCCAATCTCGTTATAACGCAAAATGCAAAATTACATTCTCATACATATAACCGACAATCAGCACGTGTTTTCCTAATTGTCCAACAGAGCAAAATTACCTGTATAGTTTTTTTTTGTAAAATGATTTTTTTTTTAATTTAAAATTTTTTCCCGCCTCCACTCACGTGCACCCGTACACCAGTGATAATTGGAACATTTTATAATTAAATGCGCGAGCAAACTTTTATGGTACTGTAATTTGTCACATATAATCAAGAAGTTAGTCGATATATTTTTTTGTGGGACGTTTATACTAATTTTTGTAGGATATTAGATTTAGCCACATTTTTTTTTTTTTTTTTTTTTTTTTTTCAAAAAAATGATTCATCGTATTCCTTTATACGTTAAACAGAAGGCACTGAGGTAATGGCCAATCGAATGCAATTAAATCAGGAGGTTACCTACCAACTGTTTGATGGACACGCCGGTTGCGATCACTTCCTTGTTCGACTTCTCCAGCTCGATCCGATTTGCCTCCGACACGTAACTTTGTGTCTGCATGCACAAAACACAACGCGCGTTGACATCAGCCCCACATGTGACAGGACACGTGCGTTTTAATGACTAGTCACGTATATATCATGCAACATATCGAATGCACACATGCATTGCTTGAAGAACATTTTATTATTAAATTCTTTTTTTTTTCCATCAGATCATGGATAAATCAGTGAGGGAAGAATATTTTATTCATTATTTATAAATTCATCGATTACGTTACATCGAACAGCAATGATCTTTAATCAAACTCCTTGACTGAATAATTAAATATTAATTGCTGAAGTTAATTATGTTTTCGTATACGATTTGTCATTTAAAAAGAATCATGATCAAAATTTCTTTACGACTAGGTATAGTTTTAATGATTATTAAATGTATAACGTAATATAATGATTTATGTAAGAGAGAGAGAGAGAGAGAGTAAGGGGAAGAAATTTTTTGAGTTTACAAAATGTTTTTAGTATAAAAAAAATTACGTTTTCCGAGAAAACCTTCTTTGCCCACAATATCAATTGAAGCACAGAAATCATAATGGCTCGCAAAAACACTACGTGTCAAGTTTTTGTCGTCGAATCCTCGGTTTGAAATTCCAAGTGCAAATACCTTTCTACCACAGTCATCAATTTACCGGTATACGGTAAAAGAGTGAAAATTGTATGTTAGTAAAAGACAAAATTTTTCCAAAAAATTATATACACGCCAAAAAGCCATACAAATGACATAATACATGATACTACACAGCGATACGTTAATTAGATAACTCGTAGATGAATTCGTCATCGGTCGAGGAAAAATTGCTAATAATTTTCATAACCAAAGGAACTGATAAGCACCGCATAGCACGATCAACTAACACGCAGATATCGATACGAATGCTGGAGAGCGACTAAGTAGAAAAATTGAGATAATTATCGATAAGAAAGAAAAAAGGCTAAATTAATCTTATCGTAGTATACAGTAATACGCATATAGCGTATATACCCACGTATGTTAGTAATCAGAGATTGCGTAGCTCAAAAGTGACAACAATCGATCGATTAATGATTCGAAAGGTAAAGCCAAGTGTATTTACTAGAAATAACGGGTTCTACGAATGGCTAGAAATTGTCGAAACAGCCATACGTGAAATATGAAATTTCGGTAACAAAACTATAATTGCAAATACGAGTAATTCTAGTTATCGACAAATAAGAGATTACATTCTCATTTCGGGAGTTGATCGCCGAAGTAATAGAGATAAGAGGAACAAAAAAATTTGGCATAGATTATGAAAAAGGTGTAATAATAATAAAATTATCATCGCACAACGATACACCTGCGTTCTCGAGTCATCCGAAGTGTGTACACTTTCTTGATAAGAATAAATGATAACGCGATACTGTACCAGCGATAAATTTAGTGCGACTACAAAGCCTTGTTCTCTTGATTAATTAATAGTGCCTAGAAAAGTGTGCTCTTGATTAATTTTGCTAGTATACTGTGTCACTGTATACTGTGTATCCGGATAAACCCGAAAATAGCGAGCGATAAGAATTGATAAAAATAAAAAAAAAACCTAATCATTTACCCAAAATTCCATTCAGAAAATAATTCCATCAACTGTACAACAAGGCATAGGGTAAGATCCCAAGATAAATTAGTATCAAACGCACAGGGCTTTATCCGAACAATCAATTAGAGTGCACATTCGTCGAGAGCACAAACGACACGGAGACAAATGAAAGGGAACAACAAATTAATTAAGTATCGCGATGACTAATTCACCCGTTGTATTTCTACGGTTCCCACACGCAAGGATGTATTCCCTGGTGCGATACTTTCGGACACCCCGTATATACAGTGTACGATGACCCTACCTCTATAACGAGTGATGCAACTATGGCTGCAGCTATTAACCGCATTGAAACTCATAGCCCAGGTCAAAGGTCAAATTGTATAAGTATAGATCGAACGATCCCTTAATTTTATAATTTTTAATTTTTTCCCCCAAAACACCCACCCTTCGCCAAATCTCATTTTTCCCTAAAAAATTTCAGATCTTCGGGTTCGCGTACGGAGTAACAGCCGTATCGTGTATTCCATGTATAATTGCTATAAACTATTCGTAACGGGGATTAATACCTTTAGGAGGTCCATACGCGTGATTCTGAGGTGATAGTGAGTGAAAAATAATCCTGTCGTATAATTGGGCATTGGAGTGATTTATTAACCGAGACCCGGTTCCAGACTGTGATTCGTTTCCTCTCGACTGTGTCCGATTGATTTCGCCTGTGACCTCAAATGCAATTGGTATCCACACAATTGGTATTAGACACGAGCTCTGCGCTCGTCCAATAAAATAAATCGTTAATGAAAGTGTAGATGGTTTACATAAAAAATGACAATAGTCCCGCGTGCTCGAGCGTTAGGCGTAATGGTTGATGAAAGAGATAATGATAATAATAAACGGTGACGTAACAAATGACTCTCTCTACTCGCAATCGATACTTAACGCAACTTACCAGCGACTTAACGTTGACATTCGATAGATCATCGTCCCCAGAGAATTCGATCCTCTCGTAGGATACCGCCCGGTTGTTGCCGTGCATATTTGGGTCCTTTAAGTTACCGTTCTGACAAACAATACACACAGGCACACTGAGCATGCTAACGTATCGGGATAGGATTACCCACTTACCGCATAACTGGGAGCCTCAGGCCACCCTTGTCTTAAGGTCGATTGGGTCGAGCGAAAGTGCAATAACAAAATGTCGAGATAAAGGGAAGCTTTCGTATAGATACCAAATAAGGATATCCATCGATATTTTTTTAGAATAAAAAAAAAAAGGAATTTTCATTAAGGGGTAATGCTGGAATTTTTTTTTTTTCGAGCTTTATCGGGGTTACTCTTTTTACTGCATAGCTCGTACCATCGATGCGGGGAGGGATGATTATTTTGAGGTTTGGCAATTAAAAAAATATTTTACGCCGCGTCTCAACTGGCAATCAAAATGCAAATCCAGGCGTCTTCACTGAGTTGTCCGGGCTTTGAGGCGACTTTGGAAATAATGATAATAAATATTCAAGTATTCGCGATACTCACCACGGAGATGTTCTCCTTCTCTGGATCGCTTTTCTTGCTCTTCTTGGTCTTCTTCGTACGCGGCGTGAGGGTGGGTGAGGCATCGCTACTGGCAACACCCTCGATCTTCTTCTTCTTCGTCTTTGTCGAGCTCTTGGTCGTGCTCGAGGAAGACGTTACCACTGTGCTGGTTGTGATGACCTCCTCGCGATTTTCACTCTGGGTGGACAAATATTTTTTAATTAAATCCCAATCTGAGTTAATGGGGATTAAATGGTGCGAGGAAAAATTTTCCGTATGCACTTTATTAACTGTATTCACGTTTTGTATATTCGCAATGATTTTCAAAGAACAGCGTCCAATGGAATCAAATTATATAGGTTTACGTGTTTGGGTTCGCGTTTGAATAACCGTGTAGCAGGTCGAGCTAATTAAATATACGAAATATCGTTGGGATTATCAATCGACTCTGTAGGTATGGCAGGTTTGTTAAAAGAAAAAGAAAATTATATAACGTCGAAGCGTTGGATAAGGCAACCGGTTGGCGAAGAAATTAACATATTATTTTTCTTTATAATTACAATTAGCAAGGTCACCGTTGGTTTTTTTTATCGGTTAATATGCATGATTTTGCTTCTTAGGTAATTATAATTATTTAATTAGTCATAGATAGTGGATTAACGGGAGAGAAAAAAAATTGAAGCAGTAGCTTCCGTTTGCGATATACTTTACGATCGGGTAATTATTGTACGGATGTATAAATGGAGAATTTTTATTTTATCTGTAAAATATGATAAACTCTACGATGAGACCGGTAAGGTTATTCACCGGGAATCGCCGACCGCTTTAACGTGGAAAGCGGTACTTTCCTCGCGTGGTCTGCGCCACCGGAAGTCGTCTGGTTCTTCACTGATTTTCAGGCAAAAAAATCTTTAGTGCTTGACGAACGAACGGAAGTCTTATGGATCTTTGATTTTTTTTTGCAAATTTTCAAAATATTTAATGTTACTCAATTGGCACGGGTGTGTCGGAAAGTATCGAATAGAACCTTAAATAAATCTTTAATTACTTGATTCATTGTACGTTCACTCCTTGTTGCAAAATTTGTAGATAGCTGCGTATGTTGAAACAAGTCCAGAAATTTCTCGACTGAATCTACTCGAGGCAAACCCTGTCAAGTATAATTATTAATCTCGATTTATGAAAATATTGAAGAAACAATAAAGAAAAAAGTTTTATTACCAATACGAAAGACTGAAGTTTGATTAATAATTTATGAGCAAAAAATATTGATTACGAAACTTTTCATATTACGCAAGACATGGGATATGCAACGTTTAAAGAATTTATAAGATTTTTCGAAATTCGAGATTTTTTTTTTGTTAGAAAAAAAAACTATCCTTTTCAAATATGAGGTAAATTTTTCATTCACATTTTTTAACACCGCGCCCGAAAGTGTCCACGACTTATCACGTCCACGCGCACTTCATTCAACTATAAGGTTATCATTACAATTTATAGGAATCTAATAAAATTACACATTAATATAACCTGCAAATCTACTTTATTCTTTGACACAAGAGTAATCGACACGATTCAGGCAACTATCCGACTTTTGAGTCTGTCCGCCAGACTTCATCAAAGACAATCAATGCGAAATGCCGCTCGACGTGAACTGGACAATGGTCGTTGCACGAGTAGAATGCGCGGATAGCGCGTAAGGCGGCCTTGGGACGACTGAAAATGTTGGAAACAAACGGGTTCAGGAAACTCGATGCTCCCTAAACCGCGAGATGGTCTGGAGTGCCTCGCTGATTGGTTATTTCCGTTAGACACAAAGTTCCCACTGGTCGAGTCGCGTACGGACCGTGAACAGGGGCTAATTAGGTTGGGAAATGTTCAGAGACCGGAACCAAATACGATCCACAAGTAAGCCGCGATTCCGATTGGAGGATACCCGGGGTACCTCAAAGGACCGACTTCAACTGTAATAGACAGAGGACAGACAAAGAAACAATCATATCCGTATTATATTTCAGGAATTTAAATAACGCGAGCAATCAACTTCCGATAACAGGATCTGTCATCGATTTTGAAAAAGCAATCCAGTCTATTTACTTTGATCCCCAAAAAAACACTTACGTGTAAAAAACTACGCCAAGTACAGGATTGCTGTGAATTCCTCTAACAAAAAGTATTGATATCATATTATTGAGGCCAAGTACATAAGTCACTACATGTTTTCCTATTATATGATCTAGCACTGGCCCATCATTTTAATTATATTTTCAATATTTCCTATAACGTTTTCGCTACTTTTTTATGTTACTACTGCTTCCCGTATTTAATTACGATTTAATGGTGATTTAATAATTAATAAAACTGTAGGTGATTCCTTATCGAGTACTACTTGGCATGTCCGTGCCAGGAATTCCAAAGTACTTACTTTGCACGTGCACATAGTATTCTAATGCTGTATGTTTGTTATTAAGCTTTTACCGCGATTATTTTTGACGAGTTATTGTTAATATGTTTTCTATAGAAAATTGGTACTGGTTTTGTACCAAATTTATATCAAGAAATGCACGGATTGTACAGCATGTACAGCAATTGTATAGATCTTGGTGCCGATCGGTTCAGAACAGGAAACCTAAACACAGAAAACTATGCAGAGGGACACTTAAACACTCTGAACTTTCAATACGCCCTGATCTCGTACACTAATCGTATTGAACTTGGTGGCAATCGCTTCAGAACCTTCAATTCCTATAGTGAATGTATCAATAACTTTTCCTCATATATAACGGTTTATAAGATATTTCGTTCCAAACACAGGTATAAGGAGTTGACTCGAGTAAAGAGTCTCGGCGCGCTGCGCCCTGTACAGCCGGTTGCCTGTACTTGGCGCGAGACTCGACCGAGTCTCTTGATAAAATAACAAGCCCCACTCGAAACCGGATATTGGATGGATGAGAAATGAAGTATCGAGATTTCCTATTGGCTGATCGATCAATGGGAAATATCGGAAATCGGCAATACAGAGAGGTTAATTGAAATATCGGTAAGAGCGCGGGCACGGAAATCTTTATCGTCCTGGAAATCCAATAACGGACGCGGTCAGGGGCATTCGCCGATAACCCGTCTCGTTCCTGTGTATTTCGGTTGCCGTGCTGCAGGCGCAGATTCTCCGATTCGGTCGCGTCGTCCGGTTCGATCCCTACTAATCTTTTTTTTGAAAGCCCACTCTCGTAACCGTGACGGTTTGAAGAAACGAAATGATATATGATCCTTAAAGGAATTCACTGTTAGTTAAGTTAACATTGTAAATGTGCATTACGTACACGGAAATACAGGAGCTTTCTCTCTGGTATATATTGTGACAAGAACACGATACTCCTTTGACCATATACATCGTCGTAGCCTATCATTCATTTTTACTACATACATTTTTAGGATTCGTTTAAGAATATAATATATCGTTCGACCGTTCCCGTTTCCCTCGAACTCCACAGCAACCCCTTTAATACGTCACTCGATCTTAATAAATTGTAAAGAGAAAACAATAAATTTTTTAGGTAGCCACAGCAACGCAATATTTTCTGCAGTAGCAGCGACTGAGTTGACCATTAAAATTGACATTGCACGAAAAGCAAGCACGAACAATGTTGATCGTAACAGCTTTAAAGGCGGTAAATTTGAAAGTGTCAAGAAAGTTATATCAAATTGGTCAATGAGAAAGGATGAGAGTAGCAAAGTTCTCAAGAAAATTTGCATTGCAAATTTATGCTTGACTCGAAGTAAGGCCTTGCCACGTTCTTTCAAGAGTACTTGCAATGTACCGTTTTCTCTTTGTCGATCGACTAGATCCGCGTCTAATCCTCAAAGCGAGTGAATAGATTAAATAGGCTTTGAAACGGGATGAACACGTTACCATGCTGGTAACGTTTATTCCCCAATAAAGATTGTATCTGACAAGAAGCAGATATTCGAATGACTTTTATTTGTGGTTGCCCGAAAGTTTCGTGTCATTATAAATTGATATTTTCTCGTCATTTTCAGATTTGATTTACCGTCTTTTTATCTTGGCTACTTCAACGCTTTAATCGCTCGCTTCTTATTTTGTGATCGACAACCGCTTCCAGTTGAATCGTTATGTAACGGTGTCTGGATCGCATTGAATGAGATACGAAGGTTCGTCACAAATTTCGGACTGATCGTTCGAACGGTTTTTACACCCACAGAAAATATAAATAACAGCGATATAATAAACAGCAGTTTTTTCTGTCATTACTTGACAGTCTCGTGACAGACAAAATTTAGTAAATTTTATTCACGGAAAAAATTGAGTAAAAAAACTTATCGGCGACCGTCTGTCTCTCTCTTACCCAAGTTAGCGCCCATAAGTCCGTCTCACTCGCACTCGCGACAGGTATACGAAATTCACAAAATCTTCACGGTTCTGGATATTTTCCCGCTAAGTAACATTTCAACATTGACTCGCAGGAAACGCGTACTTCGATAACTCAGCATGACACCCGTTAAATCATATCGTTACGTTCAAATTGGATAATACTGTGGATTCGGTGGTATTAATGACGTCACAATTCTTTGGCAGCAGTACTCAATCAATATTGTAATAATTCAATGAGAATTCCGTCTAGATTTTAAAGTGTAGAAAATCTTACGAAATCGATTGCTTCTCCTTAACGGTGTATCGAGTAAAAATACCACACGGTATCTCTTCGGGTAAAAAATGAAATTTATTATTCACGATATTGCGTAATTATTCAGTGGCGTGAAAAAGGATTGGAGATACGTGTACAACAGTTACGTGGACGTAGTTATCGACTTACAGGGTTCAATATACGGATATGCGAATAGGTCGAAATGCACGCACGGTAGGCAACCGCAGGAAATTTTTTTTCTTTCGAATTTGCGGAATCGAACGTAACGTACTACACGGTATCCAGAGGCAAACTGAGTCAAAGTGAGTCAACTTACAACGCACGCATGCACGTACACCGAGAAAAAGTTGCAACTGCACTTTACGATGCACGATTGTGCGGTGACTACGTGGACTGCGAGTTTATCAATACTTGATTAGAGTTAATAATTTTTTTAATTTACGACGTCACTAAACAATTGATGATTCGTTCGACGAGGATAAGAGTTATCGTATTCAAAGTATGTATATTCCGTCCATGCTCATTAGCAGTGAACGTTCAAGTTAGTATTCTGACAACTAAATCTGCATAGTCAAAATTATGAGGAAAGAAAAGCAGAATTAACGCTAGAAAGCGATTCCGCGAGTATCTATATCGGAGAAAGGCCAGAGTTCTGTGGTAAACCGGTTTCTCAGGTTGGCGCAAGGAGTCATCTACCGTTTTATGTCTGTTATGCATATTATGCAGGTAAAGGGCAAAACAGTTGGAAGAGAATAAATGAAAAAAAAAAAAAAAAAAAAAAAAAAAAAAAAAAAAAAAAAAAAAAAAAATGGAATAATTCTTTTTTTTTTCGTATAAACTTACCTGAGCATAATAAATTTAAAAAAATCTTTGACACTTATACATAGAAACTGTAACGTCACATCAATGCGAACTCGGCTTTAAGGAGTTCGTGTGTTAAAGTTATTCGATAAGTACGTACGACATGGAGAAGCAGCAAATAAAAAAATGATTTCAAACTGAACGTAAAGGGGATAGTGAAAAGCTGTTGAAAAATGATAAATTTTAGCTAAAAAAACACAGCCTATGATTTGCACGAAGAAAATGAAAGTTTACTGGGAATTGAAGAAAAAAGGATATTTGAAGAAAAAAAAGAAGGATATTAGTCGCTAAAAACAACACTTACATCACACATGTTAGATATGTCGCTCGTCTCGTCGTCCGGGGTGGCGAGGGGTGCGAGGGTTTCAGAAATGCCAAGGGTGCTTAATCGATCCTGTACGCTTTCTAGGTTATCCTCGGGAAGGAGTCGATCGTCGCCATGGCTTTCCGTTGTCAGATGTTTCGAGTCCTCTTGAACGATTTGCCATTCTTTGTTATCGACGTCGTCGGGAAGAGTTTCCGGCGTTGCTTTGTCGATGCTCGTAGTAGCGTCTTCGACGGTCGTCCAGGACTCGAAATCATTGGAGTCTTTGGACGATTCAAAAGCGCACGCATCCGCGTATTTACTCTCGGAGAAGACGCGCACGTTTGAATTGGTCTTCTCGGTGGTGCCGATGATCTCGATCAAGGAATTCTCTACGCTCGTCGTCGATTCCGTTTTGGATTGGATTAAGGATTCTGTGATTTTTGTATCGATTAAGTTTTTTTCAGTCAAAAAAACTTCTTGACGTTCCATCGACTCTTGATGACGTTCATGGCGAACTTCTTTGATTTCTTGAATTTCTATCTTTGACTCCGATTCGAATTTTCGAAGATCGCACTGAATTTCAGGATCCTGATGTAAATTGATCTCGTTCTGTTGTTGGTGTTTTGAATTTTTTTCGAATTTTAATTCTTCGCCTTGTGACTGTTCCAAGAGAAGTGGTCCAGAACTCTCGGCTGGGAGGATCTCTTGATTCTCTTGACTGTCTTCTGATATTGGCTCTGACGTATCCTTGTGGATGAACGATGATTCTTTTGCTTCTGAAATGGTAGACGTTTCGTCTTCCGGAAGTGAAAACGTACGAGACTGATCTTCCTCGACGGACAGCTGTTCTAAATTCCCTGAATACTCGAATATGGACGGTGCAACATCATCTCCAAGAGCTGGAACATCCGCGCCCAGCTGGACCAGTTCCTCATGAACTATGGCACTGGGCTTGTCATCCTCAGCTACCTGCTCCAAGGTCTCCTCAAAATTGTCAGAAAATTGACCCACCTGATTGTCTCTTGATTCCTGATTGTTCCAGGATCCTAGAAGATCCACATTGTTCTCACCAGCCTTATCAGAATCCTCAAGGTTGACGTGCTCCATCTTATTCCGAAGATCAGCACCTGGATCTACATCCTCCTCCATAAGAATATTCAGATACTTCTGATCTGTACTACGATCGTGCTCCTCAACCTGGAAGTGATCGTCGATGACATTATCCATAGTGCAGAGCTGATCATAGGATTCTCTAGCAAGATCATCATCATCCAATCCAACGATTTCCTGATCAGCAGGTTCTTTCAAGCCCAGGTATTTTTCGAGATCGAGCAGATCCTCTTTGATCTGCCGATCAGCTTGATCCCCATGTGACGTCGTTTGCTGAATGGCAGTTGTCTCCGTGATTCCCAACTGATTGTCAAACGTTTCCTCTACGTGAAGATGGCCAACTGGTTCCGACTCAATCGTCTCTTTTAATATTACCGGCGCCTTGGAATCCAAATCCGGCGTAACGTGACCATTCTGATGAGCATACGGATCCTCGATAAGACTGTAATGATCCATTTCAGCAATTATAAATTCCGAATTTATATCGAGCGGATCCGGTCGTGGCTCCAAGACAATTCTCTTCACTTCCGGTTCGCTCCTACTGCTCTCCTCGTTCTTCATAGTATCCGCCGTATCCTCCTCGTTGCTCGAACAAATCCTGAGCGCCAGTTCGCGCTCGATCAGCTCCTGCAGACTCTTGTCCTCGGCGTTGAGCTCGTTCTTGGTGTTGTTGGCAAGGATGAGGTCGTCCTCGTCTTCGTCGTCACACAGGGAGTTTAGTTGGCTGTTACTGGTAGTTATGTTATCTAAGTCTATCAAACCGTTGTTAGACTGAACACTGCACACTTCGTTCTTCTTGCTACTTACGACATTCATGGACTTCTTCGTCGCTATCTCCGCCATTATCGGTTGAGTGTCCTCGTGAAGTGGGTTTAACTTATAACAATCTGAAACAGAAGGGTAGGACCTTCAAAACTAACCCCAAAACATACAAATAATAAAATCAAAAATTATTAATAAATATATTTAATAAAATTATGTACCTCGTTAAAAAATTATATTCCACTCTCACCCAGACTGGAATTTTTTTTTCCAAAAAAATCATATGTATCGATATTTTCTTTTTAAAAAAAGACACGAGAAACCATACTCAAAACGATCCTACATAATTCACGTAATAAAACCGTCTAGTTGAACGAACCGTACCATATGTCACGTTTCACGAATACCCAAGAGACGTTCATCCAGAGCCATAAGTTCACCCGTTGGCGCATATGTTTTCTAGCAGACCTATATACGGCACGACGCCTCGGCTCAAAAGTAACACAAGCCCAAAAGCATAATGACATTTTTACAACCCAACATAATACCCCAATATAAACAGTGTCGAGGGCGTTGGTTACTTTATGGTGTACAGGAGTGGCTCTTGGCGCTGGATCCTCAAATAGAATAATTATAGATTTCTGAGTAAGAAGATATATATTCATTGCTATAGTTCTCTTTCCCTATCCCCCCTCACTCCCTAGCGCTCCATCCATCTCTAAAGCGTCCAATCTCAAAAGCTTATTTAGGATGGCAATGTAACTACGTCACCTGGAGTTTATCGATCTCATTCAGACTTTCCACTCCTCCTTCTCACGTGACACAGTCATTATCCTGTCGAATAATAAAGAAATCTTTCCTTGGCATTGTCAGCTCAGACAACGCAAATTATTCAGACCTATATTCTACTAGAAGCTATGCGAGGGCAATGATCATCGAAGAAAAACATGACTGCCGTCAATTGCAGGATATTAATACACGTGCGTAGTTTCGTAGACGTTACGTACATATATGACAGTGAGAACGTGCGACCTTGACCATGGTACGTTTCTCACCGTTTGTTGACCTAGTCTATTACATTGGTATGTAAGGTACATTGAATATATGAATGTAAAGCGTTCGTACTGGCAATAGAAGTATGACCGGTATGAGATATTAAGCGCATAGTAACATGCCAAGAGGATCTCGTTATAGTCGAGCGACAGTAGCTGAACTTATACGGAACGTAGGTTAGTTAGAATGATTTTAATATTAGACGAAGAATTTTTAATGGCTTCACAACGTCGTGGTAGGTTTCAATAAAGCGTTGCGGATCCACGTTAAAGATTTCATGGGGGTAGAGATGGGGGCGGAGGGGGGGAAGGCCCCAGTACCGAGAATTCCAGGTATAATAAAAGCAGGACAGAGAGACCGGTGAAACGAGACGAGCCAAAGCATAGAAACCCCGTCTGTCTATGCTGAATAAAATGGAGGGCAAAAGTATATACGGGAATGAAACCACAACAGTATGTTAGGAAGATGCGGCACTCGACGCTCTTTATATCGCAAAACCAGATACGTAGCTTAGAAACTTATCCGGTTTCATTTAGATATAGTATCTGTATATATAGTATATACAGTATATACAGTATATATGCAAAACGCAGGATTTAACGTTAACCAAGGCTACCTACCTTATTAGTTTAAATTAACACCCACATAAAGGGCGTTAACGAATGCGCCGGTTGCGACTATAACATCCGGCGAAGAGAAAGGATTAACATTTCGCGCGAAATTGCTCGTCTGCAAATTCCATTGCGTAGCTAAACCACAGTGGCCATGAACTGTACGGGCACAAGACGCATTAAACCCTATTGGCATTTTCCCAAAGAATTCCTTGTCCTATGCACAGTCTGGAATTCGATTGTATACTTGTATACAGGACCGTCCGATTCCCATCGTTAGAGGGACGATGAATTAATTGAGAGACACGGTTCATCGCGAGCCTTTAAAAAATGTATTTAATTAAAGGTAAGCCACTCCATCCGCGTGAAAGGCACTTCTCGATTCGCGCCACGATCTCTGCATGTTTAAAACGACAACTTCCGGATCGCCCATTCTCTCGCGGCCGGCAGTAACGAGAGAGAAAGGAGCCGTAGTGGCTTATGGTTATGCAAATTGAAAGTGTAAAGGGTAAGGAGAGCCGGGCCACACGGGTGCTCGTCGACGCTCCTAAGGAAGCGTATAATGCACCCATTGTCTTGCTGCGCTGCTACATGGCCACATGCTACCACGTGGTGGGTAACTCGTATACTATAGTGAACTTCGACTCGAGCTAGACTGCGCACTGTCGACCGGCGACTTCGGAGAACAGAAGTTGACTATTAGGTTTGATTAATGCGTACGAGGTGGCGTTGCGTGTCAGGCCTACAATTATTTGAATACCGCAACTGACCATTTACGGTGATTTCGCAGTTACACGATGTCGAAATTTATATAGTAAATTACACGAAGAATCGTATCTTTTGAATCGTAGTGTTTTACGATATTTTTAATATTTTCTATTTTTATCGCGCGATTTATGAAAATTCTTTTTTACACGCGCGTCTGCCCTTAGGATCCGTATGCGTACGGTACCCTTCGATGACTATTATTTATGACTGAATTTATTCTTGGCAATACGCGTCAGGGTACACGATATCTTTTGTAGAACAAGGTTGCGCGTTTGTGACTAATTTATTTTGTATGGAGTCGCTCTACTTTTTTTTTTTCTTATCAAAATGTCATTTTTCACCGTTCTTCGTTAATGCCAAAGCTACCGTGTAATTGGACGTCGGTGAACGTAACAATTATGTGTAAATTTCACGTGAGATTACGAGTATAATAATAATGAGAGGTACAGGGAGTTTCAAAAATAACAATAACGTCCTAATCCCATTTGGCCAGACTGTAAAAAGAACCGGTAGCGTTATTTCCATAACGTACTGTACACAAATATCCGATCTGTATTCCAAAGCTGTACTTCGCGAAGCAATCGTCGGGTCGGCGTTTAAAAAATTCCCCAGTAAAAAAGAATATGAATGACAAAAGTATCCATTGAAACGACCAAGTACCGGTGGCGGCGACTGAAGTATCACGAATTCAAAATCCTCAAAAGAAATTCCCCAATTCAATTGAGGCGCGCGTCATCGAATACGAAAAATAACAAAAATTCTTTTTTTCTCTCAATAGAAGAGAATCACCAGTGTCACGTTTCTACAGAATACAAATTCTCCCGCGGTCGTTCACCGAACACACCAGCATCTGACAGTCTGCAGAAAAGCATATGCAGCGGTGCTCGAAAGATCGACGTCTAACATAACCCATAACAAAGCCCATGTAAAATCATCATAATCGATCGAAAACAAAGCGTACCAACTAAATTCATCAATATTCTATCTCAAATTAACGTTCCTACCGTCAAGATGATAATTTCGCATACTAAACTCGTCCAATGATCTTTTTTCATGATGTAAGCAAGAGACTTTGGCCAAGCAGCAAGTGCCAAGACGGTTCATCCTGCAACACGTTTACGCGCATTCCAACACGCTCTTCTACTTGGAACACATTGGTTTACGAGCAGTGGCCACACCAACTACACGTACCTACAGTCGTCAGTACCTATTTACGAACTGCCTGCCACTTACCTAACGTAAATACGCAGAGGTCTGGATACGTATGGCCAAGCTCTCAAGTGAGAGGACAATAATACTTGTGCGAACAAGTGGATCCCCTCTACGTACTTACTCGACTGATGAAAGTGCTGGATATATGCGTGCATTAAGTAAGGTATACTTCGAAGGAGGGCGTAGACGCGGTTTTCATAAGTCTAGTAGGTTTCTGTTGTCTGGTGGATGCTGGAGAGACAGTCTTGTTAGTAGCGAAGCAAAAGTGTTTTGATGAGACGATATGAGTGGGGGTGGGCGGGGGGG